CCCCAAAACCCCAAAACCCCAAAACCCCAAAACCCCAAGTTCCTTAGAATTAATTTTTACAAAAGTAGGTAGAATGTGTAATTATCAATTTATGTATGCAGTGTAAAGGCAATTTGAATTCTAAGTAATTTATTTTAATGTCTCATTGTCTGCCATTGTTGTTCCCAGAGAAATAATTATTGATGTTATTTTGGCTTCGTTGCTATTGTCCAAAAGCATTTCCAGTACCACTGCTGCTAAGGTGCTACTATTGCTTCATATGATAGCTATTGTGGCTAACTCCCACACCAGCTGTTCCAGATCTCGATTTATTCTTCGATTCAATCTCTAAAATTAGATTTATTATTCATACTAAATACTTACTCTTTTACAAATCTTAAAGGGCAGTTGAAGTATATCCTTCATTTGAAGCATTCTAATATTCAACTCTCCTCAAGTAATCATTATTTTCAACATTAGTTGCAATATTTTAAACAGTTTAATGAGTATGCATATACTAGCCACTGTTTCTTGATTGCTGATACTCAATTCCACTTCCACTCTTTCTTTTGTTCTAATTAGGCTAGCTCACGAGTATTTTACTCTATAGTACTTGACTCGTGGGAACTTAAACTTAATTATTGTAAGCATTTGCTGTAATTGGCCTAGAAGCTTGCTTTGTAGTACTGTTCCCAGGACCATTCTTGATCATTGATTCAGTTTAGGTTTTTGATGACATGATAATGTTAGAGTTTCTACTTTTATCATTTGAAACTACTGTTCCACTTACTGCAATTCCTTATGACTGCTGCTGTTTCATATATTTTGTCATTAATTCATTGATAGTTGCTTAGCTATCTATTTGCTAGCTTTTTTGTATATTTCCTTTTTGGTTTATAGACCCAGTAGATTTTTAAGAGCTAAGTTTCTTGTTACTGGAATCTCTAATTAATTGATAGGAGTTTGGATCTTACAAAACATTTATAGAAGCAGAGTTGTTTTACAATAAATCATGTCTTTTGTTTGTTGTTGATTAGTTATTCATATTTTGATAGAAACTTAAGAATTGTTTAGTTGCAGCCTGTGTATTCATTTGACCCTAGATTCCATTGTTATTTCTGCTACTCCCAGCTGAAACTATCTTTGGCTAAGATTTCAATACTGTTGTTATTGATTAATGCTAATTAGTTTTTTCTCGACTATGTGAGTTTTAACTTGCTTAGATTTTTGATGTTTATGGAATAATACTTTAATTGGTAGCAAAAGTCTTGATTTTTTTGTTGGAACTAGATTAATTCATTATAGCCGGCTAGCTAATTGTCTTCGTTGACTTTTCACCAGACTTTCCTCTTGAACCAGTAATAGCAGAATTAACATTTTTCAATACTTTATCATTCATTATTTACATTAATTTATTATAGGTGTCTATAGCATTCATGTTTTATCCTGTAGCCTTTGGCCTATCATGAGACTGTCTTTTGTTATGTTGAGTGCTGTGAATAATAGGCTAAGCAGTACTTCCAGTCAAATCTTTCATGCTCTTCTACTAGAGGAAACTGTAACAGTTTTCTTTGTTATTTCTCGAGTTACCCCCATTTATATTATCAGAACTTTTTAATTATGTTGGTGCTCCTGAACTACTCATTCTATTTTACTGCTGTGAGAGCTCTTCAAATTTATTCTTAAACTAAAGATAATGTAAATGAAAGATTAATATAAATACCTATAGCATTTTTTGGTTTCCAGGTTACATGTTATGCGAGTGATTATAGTCAAGCTTCTCTGACATTATAGAACTGGAAAAAATCTCATTAGTTGCTTAACCCCCAACAATATTATTTATTTAAGGCTGGACTCCACTGGCATACACTTAATGAATTTATTACTGAGATTAAGATGACTTTCCGTAAATCTTCTCATCATCTTATTTCCTTTTTTCCTGAATTTTTATCATTCTCTTGCAAAGATCGTTGTATTCAAAGTGAGCTCCAGTCTCTGGACACTAGTATTTCTAGCCGCTATCATCATTAGCATATATTCCCTTATAATTCTTGAAATCAATGTCATCAACATCATCTCCTACTGGTATTTGATTGGCATTATTATCATGACCCTCAGGGATGTTGTTTATGTCTATGGCATCACAGTTGTCAGGCATCTCAGTGCATGCCCTTCTTCCCTAATTTTGATATTGATATGATTTTGTCGCCATTTCGTAAAATTTGAGTTGACTGTTTAAAGATAATTTCAAACTTATTCAATTTTAAATATAATAAACAATCAAATTTACTACTAACTCTGACCCATGGGGTTTTGGGGTTTTGGGGTTTTGGGGAGATCGGAAGAGCACACGTCTGA